TGTCCTTTCATGAGAGATTTCAAGCGCGGAAACAAAAAGAAGTCTATGGGAGCCATGTCAGGACTGTAGGGTGGGTGGGGAACCGTTGGGACCTTTGAATCAGTCAGGAAGCAGGTCACAAGGAAGGCGGTGTGGGCTGGCGCAGTGTCATGGTGAAGTTTCCAATCGTCGGAGATGTCAGGCCGGATGCGATAAACCTTTCGTTTGAGTCTCTTTAGCACTTCCACTTACAATTTGGCGTTGATGGTTGTACCATGTGGTACAAACTCAAGGTGGACGAGCCCCCTGATGTCAAAGAACACAATGAGTATGACCTTAACCTTTGACTTGCTCATTCTGCCCTTCTTGGGGCAAGGGGATGCTGATATGTGCCACTCGGCACTTTGCCTTTTTGTTTCAGGGTCGTACTCAAATACCCAAGTCTTGTCACCTGTGATGACATTGTCTAAAAAGTGAGGGTCACTTTCACACAAGTCCAAAAGTTCTTGGCACGTTTCAACTCTACGCGATTTTTGGTCGCCCGTTAACACTTTGGGCACCAGCTTTGTGCACACTTTTCGGTATCTGCAAATTGTTCACCACAATTTCGTGAACGGTACTTTTTGGAATGTTTAATGTCTGTGCCATTAAACGAACACTCAAACGACCGTCTGAGTTCAAAATTTCTCTCACATGCGTCACATTTTCGTCGGTGGTGCTTGTTGATGGCCGTCCGGCGCGGGCTTCATCGCCGAACTCTTCACGGCCTTCTAAAAAGGCCTTGTGCCACCGGTAGACCTGACGTTCCGACAAACAATCATTTCCGAAGGCTGTCTTTATCATGGGAAAAGTTTCCACTGCAGACTTTCCAAGTTTCACACAAAACCTGATGGCAATCCTTTGTTCCAAGGAGCGCTGCATTGCAGCTTGCACGGGAGACAAAAACGAGTTTCACGGAAAAGCCTTTTGTCACTCTCAGAAAGCTCGGAGACGACTAAGCGACCACACGTTCATAAGCTGACTTCCCCCTCCACCGATCCCAACTGGTCTGAGCGCGCTGTGACATATAGTCACTTCACAATAAAATCACTGACATTACTTTTCGGACAAACCCTGTACGAAAATGTGTTGCAAGCATCCAAATGCGTTTTCTGCACATCGTGCGCGGGATAATCTGCAGTTGAAAATTTGTTTTTATGGGTGAGGTCTTTATGGGGGAAAGGGTTCAAAATGGTTTCTCTCAGTGCAAAAGCCTCATCTGCAACAAAAACGAAGTTCATATTCCTCACGGAAGTGCAAGTGCGCCTTTCTTCAATTTTCCGTAAAACGCTGTCTCTTCTGTTGCACCCGCATCTGAACCTCTCCCGTTGCATCCTACGTTGTGCATAACAAACGTCAGGTTTGCGTCCACACGTCCAAGCAAAACAAGACTACAGTATCCCTTGTACTTCACGTACTATGACGCTTCGTCTGCAGGTTTAACACTAGCCACACGCTTCCCATCCAAGGAACTGCCACAGTTGGCAAGTTCCACATTCATTCAAAATCCTTTGCTATCTTTTGCCATTCTATTGATGAGTTCGCGAACTGGAAAGAAGAAAATATTTCGGGATACTAGAACTAAGTTAGTTGTTAAAAACGACGTTAACAAAAGATCTCTGCTGCTAACTACTGCTGCTGCTGGACCCCAGCACGTAATAACCATAACGGGTGCAAACGAAACATTCTAACACGATACGAAATCCACAGGGCAATACAATCGAGGAGATATAAGGATTTCAGCGAACAGTGAAAGTCTTCTGCAGAGGAAATTTTTAAACAAGTTTCAGTATTTAATTCGAGCACTTCTCATTAACAAGTGGGATATACTAAAGTGGAGGGGGGGAAGTTAAGAGAAAGTACAGATGTATTTCCCGCGACGCTATTGGCAGGAAAGTTGCGAGTGAGCTCAATGGCCAGAACAGTATAATAATAATGAGAATGCAGGGCTTCTCACCGCGGCGGCCCGAGTTCGATCCCGGGTCTGGTCAAGTGGGATTTGTGGTGGACAAAGTGGCGCTGGGGCGGGTTTTCTCCTAGTACTTCGGTTTCCCCTGCCAATCTTCATTCCACCAAATTCTCCATCATCATAATCACCCGGGGCAGGTACAATAGGCCAGTCAGTGGCCGCCGTGCCGAGTGGACCCAGCTGGACTCCATCCCTCACTAAAAGCGAAAAGCGAAGCGAAATAATGAGAATGCAACAATGGCCGTTCTGGTCACACCTAGGTACTGGGGGCTAGCAGGAGCGAGCGGGGAAGTAACCGGTCATTCCAGACCCGACTTACGCACTGTACGGTTGTTTTCGTTTGTTTCAGGATGAAGCAAGGCAAGGCGAGATTACTCAAACTTACATGAAGGCGAACAAACTTCGGACATTGTTTCGCAGCCTCCATTTCCGAAAAGAAAGGAAACCTCTTCAAAAATTTCTAGAATTATCCATGCTGAAGAAGCACGGCGCCAAATTCTTATTAAAAAGGCAATGGCTGTATTTAACTAACAAGATGATGTATACGACGTCCGAGAGAAAACGTACGCTGCAAAACTGCGCCGCATGCCTTCCGCTCAGAGGGACATTACTGATAAATTGATTAACGACGTTCGGTTTAAAGGTCTGCAGAGTAATCTTACACCTTCGATTTTTATTTCTGATTATGGGTATACATTTGGTGCCTGGATGTCAAGTGATACACTCTCTCCGGTCTCCACTTTCTCAAACCCAACTCCATCAGCAACTCCAAGTGCAGTACATTCCCCAGAACAGGACCCGCGAACTGAATTTCCTCCCTACTGACTATTCAATATTAGGTACATAAATAAAGTTTCTTACCTTCAAATGTTCTTGTTTTAGAGCCTTGTATGTATATATAGCCTTGCAGGTCTCTGGAATGATATTGCCTAAAGCGTTAGGTGATATAATCGTGGCAAACTTGGGATCTTCAAACGACCGTCCTGTGGCAAGAAAACGAAGAGTCGCTACGATTCGTTCTTCAGGTGTAATAGCATTCCACAACAGAGTATCTTGTTTCACTTTTGCAAGCATATACTTTAAGTTTTCATCTGACATTCTAAAGTAGTTTTTGTAGTCTTCAGGACTAGAATTTCTAATAAAGTTCAATAAATTTAAATGTGGAAATCTGTCTCTACCTAACAACCAGCCTTAGCCCACATTTCCCTCCTTTTTCCGTTTTTTTTTCTCCCGAACACACCGCATTCATCCAGTATTATCATCGTTGCTGTAGCTTGCTTCGATGAACTCATTCTTGATACTGAAATGTACGAGCAAAGTTGGGAAGTCCGCTCATGAGCGTGTGGTGAAATAGATCCGAGTCAAGTTCGCCCAGCCGGACTCGTACGTGTATGGACACCTTTAAACAGCTGTCAGATTTTAAAGAACATCTAGACTCTATGCAGTTCCAGTAGCTAATACGGTTATAGTTAAACCGAATGTCTGATAATCCTGATAGAAACCAATAAAATGAACAACACTGTTCACAGTTGAATTCACACTTTAAAAGACATATGACATTTAGGAGCAAGAGGACTTTGAGACTGTGTTGAGGGCAGCTGGAGACACTGAATCTTCGCAAGGAAATATCCAAGATTGTCTTGAGCTGGATGAAGGAGACCCTGGATTTCAGCCTGTTGTCGTTTTACAGTTTTCAAATAAAGGCTTTACAGTGATTTGTTTTATTTTTTCGATAGAACTACCCATGTTATTACATTTTCCATTTATATCTTTTCTACCTTTTTATGGCTATCCTTTCTTTCATTAATCCGGCTGACCTCTCCCTCCCCCAATTATTTATGCTAGAACTGCCATCTAGCGCTTGAATCGGTGGAGGGCACCGAATTCCGCCGTTAGTTCCTGGTGCAGTTACCGAGAGAGGTGCAAGTATTTGTTTCGTGCTCCTATAATGTAATAACTTACATTCACATACTCTGAGTGAGCGAAGTTTGTTGGAGTTATGTGAATGTGTACATACACGGTGTGTCCAGGATCCGTTAGGACTAACTTTTTTAAATTTTGCCCTGCAATGCCGTCTGTTGGCGAGTTGTGGCGTTAAGGTTTTTGAAGTTTCAGTTGTGGATGTCTATAATTTGAAAGCGCAAGCATCGCTGCATCATGTGTTCTGACCTTCAATGTAACAGTACTGTTCTGACGCTCGTCGGAAAATGGCGGTTGAACAGAGAGCCAACATCAAATTGTGTTTGAAGTTAGACAAAACAGCAGGAAAAGCGTACGAAATGATGAAAAGTGTGTACAGTAGTGATTGTTTGAGTCGCTCGAACATTTTTCGATTGTATGCTGCATTTCGTGACGGCAGGGTGGACATTGTAGACGTTCCACGTGCATCAAAGCCGAGAATAAGTCGAACTGAAGAAAATGTGAAAAAGTGACTGAAATCCCTGCATCAGACAGACGTGTTTCTGTAAGACTCATCGAGAACCTTTTGAGTATACCAAAAAGTACTGTGCATCAAGTTTTGACTGAGTATTTGGGCAAACGGGAAGTCTGTGCGCGGTTTGTACTGCACGCGCTGTCAGGCGATGAAAAACATGCCAGAATGGAACACTGCAAAGACATGTTACGGTAGGCCCAAAGTGATACAAAATTTACAAAATCTATTGTTACTGGTGACGCGATATGGTGTTTTCAATATGAACCTCTCACAAAGCGGCAGAGTGCAGCGTGGTTGAGCCCAAAGAAGCCGAAACCAGAGAAAGTGCGCATGCAGAAGAGTCGAGTAAAGACAGTGGTAACCGTTTTCTTCTATTCCAAAGGAATCATTCCCAAGGAATTTCTGCCAGAAGATCAAACAGTGAAGTCTGATTATTATCTCGGAGTCCTCGATCGTTTGTGGGCGAGAATTCTTCTAATTCGACCTGCATATCGAGAGCAATGTTCCTGGTCGCTCCTCCACGACAATGTTCCACCCCACAAATCGAAGATCGTGCGCGATTTTTTTGGCCAGAGAAGTGATCACAGTCCTTGATCATCCTCCGTATTCGCCATATTTGGCTCCAGCAGATTTCTGGTTGTTCCCAAAAGTTAAGTTGGCGGTGAAAGGAGACCGTCACGACACTATCCTGGACATCCAAAGGGAATCTACCGCAGTTTTAAATGCGATTCCACAAAAGGAGTACAGTGACTGTTTCAGAAAACTTTTCAATCGATTTCAGCTATGTATTGACTCAGAAGGAGACTATTTTGAATAAAAAGAGTGAAATGTTGAAAATAATTCACGTCTTGTATTTTTAATGAACAGAGTCCTAAGAGAACTTGGACATACTGTGTATTTCGTAAGCTGATCTTGTATGCCTATTACTTATTATAATATATTGTAGCGTGTCTTGGGTGTCACGCTACAAATAAATTCCCGTGGGTCTCAGATTCTGTAGAACCTTTATTGTTCTTCACTTATACACTCACACGCTTTACAATTGTCATCACTCGCAGTATTACAATGACTGCTTACAATATCTCGGCCGATACTGGACTGTCTTCTCTGGCGGTTTATAGCAGACTCTCTTCTGCAGCGGATATCCCAAGACTGACTTCTTAGACGGCTGGTGTTCCAAGACTCACTCCTTCGAAGGCTGGATAAAGACTTTCTTCTAAGAAGGCTGGATGAAGACTGACTCCTTAGATGGCTGGATCAAGACTAACTGTGCGAATGCATTCAACCCCGCTATATAACCTCGGTCGCTGCTATGCAACGAACCCTCTGTTATAACCATGGAGACTCCTGTTAGAACTACAATGGAGCGATTGTTGTCTCCTATGCAACGGTCTATTCTAGCGTTTCCATAGAAGTTACTCTTCTGGATTGCCGACACCTTACAATATATTTTTAATGTATCGCCGTATTTACTGCAGC